ATTGTTTTACCAAAGTAAAAAGTTTAGCTCTTTAGATGGTGAAGAGCTGCTGTAGGTTTGCTCCTCTCTTGTGACTGATAGATAAGTTCATTACAGTGTGTTGAATGTGCCCAGTCTAATGAGCATCCATCAGTCCACTTGAGACAACATGGCCTCCTAAAGAGAAATCAATCACTGCTGCTATTTAAAAAACATCCACCTCTCAGGTCCTGATGTTTCAGGGGGAAAAAATGTGTTACATCAAGAGAGGTTAAGTTGCAACGCTGGAGCTCTTTGAATATTAAAGATAAAAGTATCCTACAATTGTTTCAGTCCTCATACATTTTGAAATTATATTGAAATATTTTCATTGGAAAATTGAAACTGATTTCTTGAGGACTAAAAAAACGTGATTTCTTAAATTAAAAATGTGTTGCATAATATTAAAATAGCCGTCTGACTGCAGTTTGTAATCTTATTCAAAAGGAATCGCTGTGTTTAAACAGTGTAGGCCACATTTTTCATTTTAGCAGGATAAAATAATTCCTAAAAATTCCTATAGATTTTTCGCAACCATAAAAACATCGTTACTCTACTCTCTGAACAACAATGATTCAATCTGGATTCCAACTTTCGTATAAAGCGATTTATTAGGTCAATATACTTTACAGTTGTCCCTTGTTTGGTCATTATTTCCTTCACATCTTTTCTTTTTTTTCACAAATAGCTGTCAAAAGTGGTTTCCTACAGTTGCCAAACAAAATGTAAAAACGTCTTTACATGCAAATGTACGAAACACAAAAAAAGAAATCCGCTTCACCAAATGAGGACATGCACATAACCAACAGAAATATTTTGGCCCTACATTATAAATACTTAAAAAATCTTTACAGTCTCATCTCATAGTGCCCATTTGTACCAATTTTTACCCATTTATATTTACATATTCACAGAACAATAAATAAAAACGACAGCATATTGCCAAATAACTGATCCGTCTGCGAGCAGATCTTCCTCCTCTGCTCAGTCTCACCTCTCAGACAAAATCATCGAATCCTCCTTTTTGTGCTTCATGCGTTCAACAAATCAGTGGAACATAGAGTCAATGTAAGTGTTTTTTTTTTTTTATTGTTGATATTTTTTTTATTCTTCATCTGAGTTCATGGCCTGGTCCCTTGTTCTATTTGTTGATGCTGACTCCTCACAGCAAACCTGTTGACGTGCACAGGGATGGGGACCACGATTTTGGGATTTCTCACCGGTTCTCCTGACCGGTTGTTAACGTTGCCGGCTTTGATCCGTTTCCACTTGGCCCTGCGGTTCTGAAACCAGATCTTCACCTGCACCTCGCTCAGTTTGAGTGCGTGTGCGATCTGGGAGCGTTCAGTCAGAGAAAGGTACTTTTTACAGTGAAACTCCTTTTCAAGTTCGAGCAGTTGCTCGCTGGTAAAAGCTGTTCGTCTCCTCCGGCTCTTCCCTGCCGAGCTGCCGGTCGGTAGCGCCTCCTGCGAGCCGGCCTTTAGTTTGCTCTTCTGGGACAGGGAGCCACAGTTGTTCCCGTCCGAGAAACTTTCGTTCTCGCTGTCCGCCGAGCTGTCCTCTCGGTCACTGCATACGGTGTCTGCTGATTTTAGGTCCAGCTTTTCATCGTCTGAGCTGTACAGTTTGGTCTCACCTAAAATGTGAAGAAAGAAAGAAAGAAAGAAAGAAAGAGCAAACACATTCACAGTGAGTCACTTATTCATGAGCCTGCAAGCCAAAAAAGACCATTACGCAAAGCTTAAAACATTAGACATTAATCATTGTCTGTTTTAGGAGGCTGGTAGAAATAATAGCCAAGAACAAAATTGCTGAAAATGCCTCAAATGTTGCAGCAACATGAACTGAACTCATATTGGGCCACTATAGCTGTGTGTAAACGCTTAGTTCTGTAAGTTTTTACTGAAGCTGAGTACGTTTTGGAAACTTACAACAGGTTTAATTGTATCTCCTAACTGAATAATTCCTCTCAAGCTTTCTAAGCATGCTCTCCAGATCGTTATCATTATAATAATAATACAATTCACAGATAATTTCAGTTACAGTCTGTTTTTTTTAAATATCTGAACAACAAATGTTATAGTTTAACTGTCATCAGGTTTCAACCCACACAACAATTTGGCTGGAATAAGTCCTGTATTAATATTTTTGTTACCCCTGCAACGGTGACAAATCTGATGTAAAATGGGTTTTATATTTCATTTGAGTGCGTGGATCAAACACCAACAATCTCTGCTTTAACGCATTTACGCACAGGGGTCACTTTTTACGCAACAGCCTCTAATTTTGGATTTGATAAAATACCTTCAAAAAATAATAAGGCCGAGGTTACCTGATATTGTTTGAAAAGTTTCCGAGAAGTTGAGCAGCTCGGAGCCCTTGTCCCGGCTGTGCAGCTCCTCGGAGTGCGGACTTTCCTGCCTTCTCGCTCCAGGATCGGCGGCGCTTAAACGGGGACCTGGGAGTTCTTGTGGCGGGTAGAAACTGTCCGGTGGATCCGAGAAACTCGGCATCGTCGTGGTGAGCGCAACCATGGATGGCACCCCCTGTCCCAAACTGGCACAGAACGTGTTAGTGAGCCGTCCCGCAAAAGAAGCCAAAGGCGCGAGTGGAGGTATACCAGACGATAAAGGCGAGTGGGATAAAGCTTGTGGAATAACCAAAGGTCTGTACGGCATGAACATAGGATAGCCCGTGTAGAGCAGGTGTCCCGGTCTGGGCTGAGGGGTCCCTATCAGCGAATCGATTGAAAACGCCGTCCCTTGGCCGCCTGGTCTCTGCATTTTGCAGCTTTTATTTTGGTGGTAACTTGGAAAGCAGGTGTCCTCTCCTCGGCGACGCGCAAAACTTTTAGTGCAAAGGCAGAGCGAATGGAAAGTAGATCCTCTGCTGTGTTGTCATCCCGTATCGGAGTGGACTCGCTTCTCCAGATCTCCGCACTCTATATGCGTCAGTCAGTCGGGCGCTTTGTTGTGTGCCCCACCGCTACCTTTTCCCTCTTATTTGTCACACACTGAGACATAAACACACGCTCTCTCTATCTATCTACCGCTCCCCTCTCTGCAACTCCTCCCTCCGCCCCTCTCCGTTACACCGGCTGCTGCGGTGGTGCCGAGACAGAGAAGAGAAGAGGCAGAGAGAGAGAGGGCGAGAGCGCATTGGTTATCATCTGCAATACAAGAGGAATGAAAAGGGGGTGTTTCCCTGGGGGCTCATCCATCTTCCTCAAATTACGCTTCATTTCCTTATTCAGCCTCTGACTTTTTGGCCGTCTTGAGAGGCGGTAGTTTCCCAGTGGAGACCAAATAGACGGGTCGCACCCCCCCCACACACACACACCCCCCCTCTCTCCAGCCCTCCTCCCCTTTTGCCAGGTTCACCATTGACTGCAAAACGGTGTGAGAGACTGTTCCAGCCCTTCCCCTTCTATAATCGTTGACCACACCAACCCAATCAGCTATTATTAATTTTGATTGATGATAAGTAATTACTCTGGATTCAAGGGACAGAGTAAAACAACGGTGGCTTTTGTTGGAATATTGGGGCCGATGGGCATCAGAGTCAGCGAGGGAGGAGAGGCAGATGTTTCTCTGCTCTCTGTCCTATTCTCCGCCGGCTAAAAACAATGCGTTTGGCTTCAGAAAAAAAAAGAAGAAGTGCTGCAACAATTGTTCCCTGGAGAGAGATACCCTGTGCGAAATTAGGTTCAGATAAAAGACGTTTATGCGAGGTCAACTGCAGTGTGGGCACATAGTGGCCAAAGTCAAATTTGTTTGAAGTCGGAGGGGAGGGGGGAGAATTTATTTGAAAAGCTGTGAATTATAAACTTTAACGTCCCTTACGGATCATCTGTCAACTGAATCACCCCCCCTAAAAAAAAAAAAGGGTTTTATAAATTAAAACAACCCACACACGTGTTTTTGCTTTTGCGCTTTGGGAGTTATAATTCATCCCTGATCAAAAATACATGTAGAGAGAAAAAATAATCACTTTTTCTCTTTTCTTTAAGCACTGGTTTAATCGCAGATCATTTCACCTTTTAAATGGCAATGGGAACTGATGATGATTAGCCCTATTGAGTCCTGGGTGCCCGGGCTCTCCAACTGGTCGTCTGATTGCAAGAGGACATAAACATATCACCACCGACTCTGATTAGCAGTGGAGGGCCAGGCCAGGCTAATTCTTATAATTGCAAGTGACTTCAGCAGCACCTCTCTTTGATCTATTGAAACCATTTGCCGAGCTCCTCTCCCCTTTCTTTTTTGAGAGGGATTCTGATGTTGCCCAGCTTCTCTTTGCGCTTTTTTATTCACGAATCTTTTAGTCACATTTTTTTAAATGTCCAAATGACATTTACATTCATGGAGAATATTCATCCGTTTCATCTGTTGTTCTTGTTTCTTTTTTCTTTTCTTTTTTACATAAAAGCCTTATACACGATGACTGAAGTACAGGCCTAATAAAAATAGTCAACCTGTGATAACAAAATAGGACATATTTTAATTGTCTCAATGGGTGATAGAAACTTGTCACTGCTGTTTTTCAATGTAAGGCAAATTGATCAGATGAAGTCTGCAGATAATTGTCATTTTGTTAAATGTGACTGAGATGATCCCTCCAAGTTAACTTTTTCCCCCCCGCAAATGACTGATAGGAGAGGCTGACAGGTGCCACACACTGAACTCGTTTGTCCTTTTCTCCTTGTGTCAAATCTCGCCATCATTTCAGACTCATATAGCCACATTCGAAGAATATCGGAATCACTTTATAAAAATCACAAATTACAACTTTCTGCTCACCCTTTTAGCCGTTAGGTGTTGTTTGATCACAGAGGTTTAATCAGATTTTTTTAATGCATTTTTTTTTTGGTCATTAATATTCTTCTTCCCGGAAAATCGAGAGTATAGAAAAACGACCCAGAAGCAGCAGAAACATGGAGAAAATGAAAGACAACAGGGAATAATAAAACAACACAGACTGGGTTACATGGCCATGGTGGGATATTTTATTTGATATGAAGCATATCATTATTATATATATATTTAATATATAAAACGCCTAATTACAATCATATCGGTGAGAATAATTATTTATGCAAATATTCTGTGGCAAACATAAATGTACAACACATAATTACTATGCGCATTTACATCCTAAAAAAATACAAGCATCTGAGCCTCTTTACTACCAAGTGCAAAAGTAAAAAAAAACAAAAAACAAAATGTGATGATAAAATAAATCAAATATAAAACATTCCAATTGCATACATGCCATATACTTTACCATCTCTAGTCTATAGCGCCCTCTTGTGGTGCAACATCAAACATGTAACTGTGCCAAAAAGACTGATCTGGAATAAACGACAGAGAACAAGCAGCTACTTCTTCCTCCTGAAAACTTACAACAATTTATTTAATAATATGTGTGTGTGAAGAGCAGCATCTGGTGTCACTATTTGAATTATTATGATTTTGTTATTATATTGGGAACACGTAGCAGCACTCAATGTTCATCAGGATCCTTCAGTGGATATAGCCTCTGTACTCCAGGAGCAGGTAGTTCTTGATGTAGGTGGGCAGGTCAAGTTTAGGGACCACCTTGTGCACCCGTCCCTCCAGGAAGTTCCTGAGTTTGCAGCGTGCCAAGTGCTGCAGGGAGCGAGGAGTCAGTGCCAAAGAGAAGACTGAGTCATAGAACTCTTTGTGCTCCTGCTTGGATAAAAACAGGTGGACATGAGATCATTTGAGGAAGTGTTGATGAATGTTATTTGTCTCACTTTATAGTAAATCAGAGTGGTATTTTAAAAATGAATAAGAAGTAATTATTAAATAAACATACTGCGAGCAGTTCATCTACCATTAGCTTTGTCCTATTATAGATATCTGTGAATATCAAATATCACCCACAACTATATCCAGCTATAAGCATGACCTGCACAACCTGCAAAATGCATTGTAAATTTGTATTAATCCATATAATCATTGAAACATTTTTGTAATTTAATTCTGTATTTAGAGGCCTAACATACTGTATGTCAGAGTTTCTTCTATCACTGAATATATGTGTTGGGTCACCTCAAGTCTGCAAATTTAATGAGCATTGCTTTTAGTGAAGCTTTTATGGTCTTGGTGCTGTCCAGATACGGTGCCCAAAACATGAAGAGGCAATTAAAGAAATAATTGGTACAATATAAAAAAAAGCCCCATAAAATCCAAAACAAATTGCCTTAAAACACCCACACCGGTTAAACCCTACTGACAAATTCATTATTTAATGAGCTTGCCTTATACACCTCTGATGACACAGACTCAACCCAGGTGTCTGTGACTTTGAGGTGACTGTAGGCGTTCAGAAGAACCTCGATGGTGCGTGGAGACTCGGAGCAGTGCTTCAAAACCTAAAAGAAACGCCACAACACAGAGCAAAGCAATAGGATACATATAATCATCATTTAAGTTCATGAGCGAGCTTGTGACTCCATAGAACTGAAGAAATAAAGTAATTAAACACTTGTGAAATGAACAGATTGGTCTTCCCTCCAGGGGTTTAACTGGAAATTATGCAATTAGTGCTAATTAATCTCCTATTAACACTTGCCTAATTAGGAACCAGGCATTTTGTCTAGTGCACGTGGGTTCACTGATAGTTGTAGTCTGTTTCCCGCAGAGAGTGCAACACTTCATGTTGTGTCATGAAATGGGAATGATTTGAATGTGAAGTTGTGAAGTCTGGAATATTACAAGGAACAGTTTAGTGTTTCAAGATACATTTTTTTCTCATGTGCAGTACTTGCTAATTATGCAAAATGAGCCACCTTGATGAATAATTGGTTCATACAGCAACTACAGTATAATACTACAAACTGATCTGGAAATACATGTGCACATATTTTATGTGTTGGTATTTTTTGGACAACATGTAGTGTTTGATTTCCTACCAAGGGCAGAGCTCCAGGCCACACCCGAATAGAACCGTGGTTGAGGAGGGCGCGGACAATCCTCTCAGGCTGATGGGAAACCTTGAAGCACACTACCTTCAGGATGTTATGCATGGGAGCTTCACCGCCATAGTCCATGTCGTTAACGCAGGCACCATTAGCCAGCAGCAGATCCACTATGTCTGGATTTGCGTTCTTACAGGCCATGTGCAAAGGACTGTGTTTGTCCTGGTCCAAAGTGTGGACGTCGGCCCCTGCCCCCAGCAGCATCTGGCACACCTTGAAGTAAACTTGAAGGTCCTGCACCTCCTGGCGTTGTGAACAAGCAACATTCAGTGGTGTGAGGCCCTCATTGTTCTGTTTGTCCACAGCAGCCCCATAGCGCAGGTAGAGCTCAGTGTGGTCTGTGAGGCCGTTCCTGGCTGCCACGTGTAAGGGAGTGTCATCTTCATCAATAGTGCGACTATTGATTGCTGCTCCATACTGGAGGAGACACTTGGCACATCTGCAGGCAGAATTACAGAGCCTAGTTTTTTACTGTAACCAGATGTCATTTTAAACCATTTCTTATATAAAAAAGGATGTTACTGCAATCATTTTCTTGCAAGGCAGTGATCCTGAATTCTTAAATGTTTAGCCCGGGTCAGTTTTATCAAGTTTGCAGCACATTTATGTATCCAGTACCTTTTCTGCATGCCTGCTGGCTAGTTTTCAGGAGTCAGTGGTGTTAACGTGAGACTATGTAACTCTTGACACAAGATGACACACCTTTTCCAATGGTAAATTCATTCATTCATTTCAATTTGCTCAGGGGTTTTGTAGCATGTAGCAAGACTCAGTTGGTGTGGTATGATCAGTAGTGTACACACTAGAAATGGTTAGTAAGAACTGTGGTAAAACTGACTAAACTGAGTCACTTCACAGACTTGTTGATTGTGCTACTGTTACACTAGCTAATGTTTTAGCATTAGCCTTTATCCTTTAGCTGTCACTTTTGCCCACAGTGGCTGCTTCACAGAAAATCTAGTTTCTAGTTTTTCAAATGAGTTATTCCACATTATCTCTATATACCTTCTGGCAACTGTGGAAGTCCCTCCTGGGGTACAAGCACTGAGAATCCCTGCACTAGGTGAAGCATTGGCATACACTTTCTACTTTTACTCTACTTTACTCACTCAAGGGAACACGCTCTCTAGTTTTGATCCGCTTTACTCACTCAAGGGATCCAGGGCTTGTGCAAATGTGCAAAGGCATAAGGCCATCTTCAGAGACCGCATTGGCATTGGCTCCATGGACCAGCAGCAGTTTGACACACTCTGGCTGGCAGTTTTCACAGGCCTCATGCAGGGCAGTGGTGCCCCCAGGTGACAGGTCTACATTGGCCCCACGCTGCAGCAGGAGTCTCAGGCAGTCTGCGAAGCCTCGGCCAGCTGTGATGTGAAGTGGTGTGGTCAGCTCCTGCTCATAACTCAGTGACCATAGTCCTGCCAGCAGGGAGAACAATTGGCATAAAGTCAGCTTTGAGCGAAACCATTAGGATCATTGTAAATAAGCAGACGTGTCAGGAATAAGTTATCCGAGAGTGTGCATTGCTGTCAGTTAGAACATTTACAAAGTCGCACGACTCTTCCCAATACATAATAATAGACCCTGGTACCATGAAGAAAAGTAAGACCACAACTTATTTGCATAACTGCCAACGGTTTGATATAAAATCAAAAGTTCTCGTAAACCCACTCAGGCCTCTGTAGTTAAATCTGAAGTTCTTCCATTCTTCTATGTTGCTGGTGTCATAAATGGCATCCATAAGGTAGTAATATTCATCGTCGTCTAGGATGCTGAGAATTGTCAGTTCATCACCAACAAGCAGACAGTTCCAGAACTGCAAGACACAACCTGAGGCTTTAGCTGTGGAGATCACGTCGTTGCGGTACGTCTTTTGTTTGCGCCATTTAATCTTGGGTGCTACGTAAGCCATATTGTAGCTAACTAGATAGTTTTTTTAAAGAGTTAGAGTGGTTTCTCTTGAAGAGATAAGCACTTATGTAGGTTGTTTGTGCAGACAGGGCTATTTCAGGGTCGTGATATTTGATATTTTGGTTGACCTGGTTAACTTTGCCAGTGCAGTGATATGGGAGCCAGTGACTGTTGTGTTACATGTCACCTGCCCACTGATTCAGCTTATCCACTGAAGTTAAACAGACAAAAAAAACAGAGCAAAGAGCAAAGAATTCAACCAACACAATGTTCTGCTACTGATAACATTCAGTATTGCACAGGCCCATTATTAGTGTTATGTATTCAATAAAAAATTTAACTTGGAGTCTGGAACAATCATTTCCAGGGACTCAACAAGTCAATACTGAGTCAAAATGTTAGTCTTATAACAAAATATAACAAGCAAACTGTTTATTTTGTCCTCAGTGAAAGACCACCTCTGAATCCAGTTGGATTATGTGATGGACACATGATTGTTTCTATAAATATTGCCATGTGCTCTGTTTCTATAAATATTGCATCACTGTGTCTTTAAATACTGCCTCAGGGTGATATGCACCAGTTACATGCTGCTTGTAGTCACATATTAAAATAATATATATAAGCAGTAATTTACTTCATCTCAGTTCCACAACAACACAGGTAATATGTGCCACTTTCTCTCCAGAAATTACAAAAAGCTGCTTGGCTGGGCCAAATCATATGAATTCCTAAATTAATTCCTAATGAAGACAGATTGTGTCTCCTACCTTCCCCTGTGGCGACCCAGCGCATGTCCCCTCCTTGTGGCTCAATGATGAGGTTTACTGTGGCTCCTCTAGGAAAGAGGTGCTGCATAGCCTCAAGGTCTCCTGTATACAGAGCGTTCTGTACGACCACATCTTGGCAGACAGCTGCTGGCAGGGCGGTGTCGGACCTCAGCAGTGCCCTGTTCCTGATCTCTTTCTTCACCATATAGCTGTTGAGGTGATGGGAGGCCAGCTGCTTCTTGTACTTGTATCTCTCCAGCATGTCCTCGTCAAGTTCAAGAGAGCGTAAGGCCATGGGTGTGAAGACAAAGCTGCCTCGCGACATGCTGAATGGCTTGCCTCACACGGAGAAAAGTGCTTGTGTAAGATGTGTATGATTAAGTGAGGGAGACTGTCTAAAAGGGCCTGTCTCTCTGTTTCTGTTGTTGTTTCCCCTCTCTCTGGCTAATGTCCACTGTGTGCCTGCCGGCTGTTCACAGGGTTGGTTCACAGAGTTGTTTTGATATTCGGTATGAGACCCTCCCTGCAGTGTGACAAGTAATGCTATTTTTATGTCTCACATGCAGCCACTCGAGCCTCTCCTATTTTGCCTTCAGCAAAGTTACAGCCATGAAGCTTCTCTGTCAGGCTGCAAATGTCTATCTAAGTATCTGCAAGTGGTAGTGAATAAACTCATGCTTTGTAACTACAATACAAGCTTGTTTTGGTGGTGTTGGAACATAAAATTACACACTATCAAACAAAACTTAAATCAGGGAAAAATAGGAGGTTTGCTTCCTTAAAACAAGTGACATTACATTTATAGATTTTCAGTTCTGTTCAGCATATGAAAATATCACTTACATCAGATACATTTTGTGTTTCCACCTATCCTACTGTAAATATGCTGAGCAAGAATAGATCATATAAAAGCTCAAATCATTGGATTATAAGCCTTTGCCATAACCAGCCACGCTTACAGTGTTAAACAAAAGTTAAAAAAGTTACAGCTGACGTACACATTTGGGCAACTTATAGGGTCAAATTTTTTCTTGACTTTTTCTTAGAGAAAGAGCAAATAAGAATGCCCTATTTGTAAGCCCCTGTGTTTGCAAAATGTATTTTTCTGCTCAGTATAATTTTTTTTCAAGAGCCTTAATGGATTTTATGTATCCACATGGCTCCCTCCATTAGAACATTACGCTGAATGACTGGCAACCGCTGTGTCACTCTGCCCCACGTGTAGTGTTCTGATGGCGGAGGGACGGTGCATAATTAAGCCTCTTAAGCCTACTTGCTAAGCTTTTGACAAACATCTCTTTTGACTGATGGACCACCATTTTCCAGTGCTGGTAGAAATTCTACCCAGTAGCAAAACTGAAGCTTAGGATAGGTTTTGATATTGCAGCAAGCATGATTCAGAATTGCCTTTTTGGAGACTGATTAACCTGCTCTGATATCACCATCTATTAAAATGCACTGTATTGGATACACAACGTGTTAAAATAGCACATATTTTAATGTCTGTTTATCCACCTCTGTGTTGGAGTCCATCAAGATGCCTGTAAGCTCTGTGGAAAACAAGGTCTGCACCACAGGTGGAGAAATACATGATATTCGTGGGGAGGTTTTACCTTCTTTTCTATTTGAAAACACAGAAGCATTGCTGCATCTCATCTATACCTTAACGACTGTTCTGGTATGGAAATCAAGGTCATTTATTTTATGTTACAGTTTGGTAATAGATGCCACATTAAACTGAAGGCGAGTAAGAGTTTCAACTTTGAAAACACACATTACCAGAGAGAGACTAGGAATATTGTTTTTGCGGCTGGAGTACATCCTTTTAAATGATATACATAATGAGTTTATAATATGCATCTGGGCTACCTCCTCTCTACTTTGATGTCTTCCAAATGGCCCGGGTGTCATCAGCAAAACATGTAGGCACTTTCCCGCCTCATTGACTCCCAAATGTATTTTAAATATCATTCCTGGTAACGCAATTATTTAAAACGCTGAACTAAACACTTACTAATGGGGAAAAAGACAGCGACTTCGATAAATTCATTTCTCAAATGGTGGGCATTCATGTTTCTTTTTTTCTTTCTTTTTCTCTGTGAAGCGGAGGCAACTCTGATGGCAACAAAAAAAAACAAAAAACATCAGCAGTAGTAACACCCCCTGCCCTCACAGCCCCCCGTGGACATATTAAATCTTTGGTTTCCACACATTACCCACCAGTAGCTGTCTCTCCAAGGTTTTCTGCATTGTGGTCAACTGCCTTCCTCTCCCACGGCGGTAAGAGGCTGGACATCAGCAACAGTCCTGATGAGAGTGAGGCACTTCATTTATGCAATCATAGGCAATTAGTTCCCTCTGATTATGTGCCTCTTAATGCTGTTTTGAGTACTGTGGCACACAGTAATACAGAAAGAGATTAAACTATAGCCCTCCCTCCACACTGAGCAGTCATTTAATATACTGAGAACATAATGAAATGTACACAGTAATTACAGTAATATTAAATGCTAATGGCTTTGCAATTGGATCTGTTGTTAGTTTAAGACAAAGTCAGTGCACCCAAAGAAAGTCTAAGTTTAGAGAGCGCGTCACCATGACATCAGAGCACTCAGTTATCCATCAGGTGTTTCTGATTTGAATGATTTATGTTTTACTTATTGTTATTCCTATCAGAGGAAAGAATATCATGTCTGGCATATGGGCAACTCTGTGCTGGTAAGAGAGCAATTAATATTCAATTTACATATTCTAGGGAGTTAAAGAGAAAGAGGGTCTGAAGTTTGTATTCCAGTGATAGGATAACATGGAGGTCACCATGGAAACATAATAAGAGATAATACGCATGTTTAATTGGCTAGCAACAGTGCTGCATTTATCTACTGATTCACATGTTGGTGTATTCTAATTTTCTTAATATCATATTGACTCTGACGCTCCATATGGACACATTAAGGTAGACACACACAGTCTGCTTTAAGTCTTTGATGCCATTAAAGTGCTTTTGATGGCCAATCAACACTGGTTTACTTCCATATATACGGCTCATCAGAGTCCACAACAGGGCTTAGAAAAGGCACCCTGTTTGCAAATCTCCTCCAGGTCTCATCACAATGCTTGAGATGTTGGTGGAGAACCTAAATGAATTTATAGAGCCTTCAATTGAACAGTAGCTCCAAACTATTCTGTGGAAGCATGATTACTTTTTCTGTACTCCTTCAGCTCTGAACCCACTACCTATAATGTATTGTATCGGTCTTTGCAGATTCCAATTGTCTCTCAATGCACTGATCACCACGCAAATAGCCCTCTGTTTCATCATGACAATTGAGAGGTTCATATTTCAACCTAATAGTCCTGTATAACTTTAACCATCTATCACAACCTCATTTCATTGCGGTTGCAGTTAATACGCGCTTCCCTGCCAAGTGGAACATTTTCTAATGATGCACTCTCACACGAAAACAAGGCAAGCCAGCCCGTGCTCTGCATCACTCACTAATGCACCCATCCATAATGTGTTCATAGCAGTCTGCCTAAAGGAGACAGCGATGACTACCGCTTGGCATGGGCATGAGAGGCGGATATGGGGAAGGGTGCAAGATACAAAACCTAAATGGCTATGATAATCATGAACAAAGTCACTGCCATCAAAGACTGTATCACCCTCATAATAACATCTGTAGATTTCATATCATTACCAAGAATACTGAGAAACATCTAAAATATGTATCTCAACAATAACAGTCAGTGGTGGGAGTCACATCCAAGTGCATTATCATAGTAAGCCCGGCTTTGTAGGGTGTTGACAAGGGTCGCGTAATAGGTGTATGTAAAGCGTGATGTAAACACCATCCTAATTAGAGAGACCTTTATCAGTTCCTCCATTTTATGCAGATTGGACTGGTGCAAACGCTAGTGTGATTATCCTGTAATCAAGTACTATTCAGTTGACAGTGTCGTCTTTTAAAAACCTGATTAGAATACATAACAAGGATACAATGTTGCATTATTTCCTCTGTCAGTTTATAAATATGTCCATTTTTAAAGCTAACTGAATAATGGATCTTGTCAGGGTTGGATGAATGCGTCTGAGGTGAAAAAGATCACTTTGAAAACAGACCATTGTGGTATTAAATATATATATATATATACTTATTATAATATTAAATAAAAAATAAGTATATTAAACAGTCTGTACCTCTCATGTATTTATTGTCTTTACATGTGAGATAAAGGATGATTACAACTGAGTCAGAACTACGCATGTTTTCTCAAACATAAAAACCAAACTTTAAAAACACCCAGGTTGTTTTACATCACTTAACGTTACCCCTGTTTAGCAGTCATTCTCTAGGTCCTTCCAAATACTTGTTTATCCAGCTGGCGCACTAATGTTCTATGAATGGGATTTTAGAACTGTTTCTAATGTTGTGGCTGCTTTGATAGATACCTTTCTCATCTCGCAGAACACAAAGCCAAACGTTTTATCATCAGTTAATTTTTCTATATTAATATTATTTTCATTTTTTAAATCATTCATAGATATTTTTTATATAATAATGTAACATTTAGTGGACTGACAATAGTGGTGGAAGTATTCAGACCCTTTAGCTAAGCTACTTAATTAAAGGTACTAACTATAGCTAATACAACACTGAAAATACTAAAGCCCATCATTCAAAAGCTTACTAAAGTAAAAGTGTGCAAGTATTATCAGCAAAATGGCCCGAATGTGTTCATGTGTATGTAGCATTTGACTGCTTTGTTTTAGGTTGAGCCACTTTAATACAGTTTTTAGCTTTGCTAGTCAAAATGATAGTTTGTCAAAATGACAAAATTTGGCATACATGGTTTTCACTGAGCAGGACAGGTATGGTCTATGTGTGGTCTGAAAAGTAGCTTGTAACAAATGTAATGGAGCAGCCTACAATATTTGATGTAGTAGAGCAGAAGTACAAGTTGCATGAAATCGAAATACTCAAGTAAAATTCAAGTACTTTGAATTTATACTTGAGTAGATGTATTAACCATTTGTTAGTTTATTGTCAACAGTTACCCTTTCAACCTCACAGCCACCTGTTAATGCCACACCTGGAGCTGGTGTGCTCACAGTGCAACCCTGTTTATTTGTGTGTGTTTGTGTTTGGATTATGTGTGTATGGTAATGTACACATGATCTGAGCAAATAAATACACGTAACGTTATTATTATTGCAGCTTTATACTGAGCTCATGCGTTTGGGTTATGGCAACATTGTTGATTTCACCAAATAACTTGTAGTTTATCTACAACTAGGGATCTATCTAATGTAAAAAAAACAAAAAAACAAAAACACAACACTAATGTTTTTAAACTGAACTACATAAGCTAAAGCTGATAGATTTCACCTGTATGCAGGTCATATCTCGTGTATAGGTCCGTTTATCTGCCTCAATACTGAATATGCCTGTAACATGACAGATGTACAATTACCCCATC